ATTGCAGAATTGGTTTTGTTGACTGTGTTCGTAAGAGTTACAAGTGGTACATGAAACTTTTCTTCCATCTCATGGACATTTCAATGCTCAATGCATATAATATGTACCAAATAAAGACTGGCCACAGACCACCGTATGGTGAATTTTGTTTGTCTGTTGTCAGATAACTCATAATGAAGTACCAGGTAAGAACACCTGCTATACAACAAGGTCCTCGAATTACCCAGGATATACCCAAGCGTTTGAGGAGGGAAGGTGATCATTTCATAATACAGCTTCCTTCAACTCAGAAGAAATTTGCTCAGAAGAGATGCATCGTCTGTGCACAAACAACACGACGGCAACAAAGACGCAAAGACACTCGGTTTATGTGTGAGGAATGTAAGGTGCCTCTGTGCATGGTGCCTTGTTTCAAGGAGTTCCACAAGCTCCAGCAGTTCTAAAACCATGTCCAGTGATTGTAAATATGTAAATATATGATAGAACATTAGTATTATACAAGATTTGTGCATGTTTATTGTAATAAACAACAGTGGTAAACAATAATATGATAATAACTTAAGTGCGGTTATTGTGTTCAATACAGTGAGTTTATATATATACATTATATACAGTATTGGTCTCTCAAGCCCCAAATGTTAGTAGGAAAAGAAAAAAATTGGAAAAGAAAAGAAAAAACTATAAAAACCGCTAAATAATGTAATGCACGTATGTGGAATTCGTCGATGTTGCCGCCACCACATCATTTTGGACAAACTTCTTGGCACTGTATCTCGGTAAGTACTGGTCATAATTTTTTTTCTTTGTCTTATTACCTTCATAAAAATATGCTCTTTAATTCTGTAAGAAAAAATAATTTTTTTTTTTTCAAAATTTCTTGGACACTGGAGCACCACTTCAGATTTTGGCCTTGGACCCTGAAGGGGTTAATTTCCTCATGTTTACTATATCGGAGTAATTGAAATTTCTCATCATTGAACTTCATATTGTTTTCTGCAGTCCACTGAAAGATTTGGTTGATGTCCGCCTGGAGCCTTGCAGTGTCTGCAATGGAAGACACTGTCATGCAGATTCGGGTGTCATCTGCAAAGGAAGACACGGTGCTGTGGCTGACATCCTTGTCTATGTCAGATATGAGGATGAGAAACAAGATGGGAGCGAGTACTGTGCCTTGTGGAACAGAGCTTTTCACCGTAACCGCCTCAGACTTCACTCTGTTGACTACTGCTCTTTGTGTTCTGTTTGTGAGGAAATTATAGACCCATCTACCAACTTTTCCTGTTATTCCTTTAGCACGCATTTTGTGCGCTATTACACCATGGTCACACTTGTCAAAGGCTTTTGCAAAGTCTGTATATATTACATCTGCATTCTTTTTGTCTTCTAGTGCATCTAGGAAACTTGTCGTAGTGTATCAGTAAGTCTTATAAATGTGTTTTTTCCAGGTCAATTAGCAAAAAGATGTAATTTCATAACTGCACAATGTGACCCAAAAGGGGTCACAAGACAAATGAGAAAAAGTAACTTTACCTAGTATCTTTATTTTTGCTCAGTGGTTACTGAATAAATATGCTTAATGAAGTACATATCAAACCATAGTGACATCTGAACAAGTTAAACCTCTATTACTTTCCAGTGGCAGCCACAGGCCCAGAAGAAAGATGACAGAAAATCCATTGCTGTCATTCAGAAATTTCAAAGCCATCCTTCCAGTGTTGTGAAAGTGATACACAAATGAGCTGACTAATCCAGGGTGTCAATCTCAATCTACCAGTAAAGTGTGGAGCTAAAATACGTGGTTTTGGATAAAATTTAATGGAAAATGTGTATGTGCATTTAGCATTATACTATTTATATTTTTAACCTCATTTTATTTAAGATTATTAATTTTGGAAAAAGTAGATCCCATCTCACTAAAGATTGGACACTACTGGTCTAATCATTTTAAGTATTGCATTGTGGTTCACAAAGTTTTTCTTGTATTGAATTGTGGTTCATGAAGTTGTTCTTGTATTGAACTGTGGTTCATGAAGTTTTTCTAATCTGTGAAATGGCTTTTTTAGTCACTGTATAAGGCTACCACTAACACACATCTTGAAAAATGAGGTTTCATGTCTCAAATACAAAGCAATATAAAGATAATGCTAAAATATGTAAGAAAAAATAACATAAGCAATAAATCAATACAAAACAGGCAAACCATTTGCACTAACAAACCTGGATACTATTGGCCTTGCATAGTTGAGCAGCATCCTCAATTACAGCCATGGGAATATCATCTATTGTTTGACCCTTGAGGGGGAAAAAAAAAATTAGGCTATGAAGGTTAATAGTACAGCCTCTCCTTACTTAGTGATGTACTCATTTACTGATGACTCGACTTATGATGAGCTCTCTGGCCAGTATGCATACCTAAATAATGTACATTAGAGCTGACTTCCTCTATTCTGTTTATTACAGTATAGAGTACACTAATGTATAAACATTTAAACATATACCAGAAATGTTATAAATGGTGCAAAGGTGACATTAAAACAATATCAAAGATGGTTGACACAAACCCACTACCATAATAGTATGCTCGTCACTTAGCAACAAATGGTGGTTAACGCTCTCGCTTCACACGGTGAGGGCCTGGGTTCGATTCCCAGCCAGAGTAGAAACATTGGACGTGTTTCTTTCCACCTGTTGTCTATGTTCCCCATCAGTAAAATGGGTACCTGGGTGTTAGTCGACTGGTGTGGGTCGCATCCTGGGACACTGACCTAAGGAGGCCTGGTCACAGACCGGGCCGCGGGGGCGTTGACCCCGGAACTCTCTCCAGATAAACTCTCCAGAATATGCTCTTAGGAACGGAGCTTTGTCATTAAGTGAGCAGAGGCTGTATATATGGTACAAAGGAATCCAGTAATGGCAATGTTCACTTTATTTATGAATTATCTATTTTATAATCAATTTAACTTATAACTAACAAGCATGGGATTAAATCACATGAATATATATACATGCATTTAACAAATATATACTGTTATCATATCTGCAGGTTGCAGGTGATCACTCTGGATCAGAACAGGTGCACTCATAACCAGTGACTTGTAAATGTATGAGCTTAACAACTACAACTGATACATTCTGAACCTTCAAAATCTTCAATTCAGCCGATGATGTAGAGGATATAAAAACACTGTATGCAAAAACGTTAAAACATAGTGGAGCTCTGCAATAGGCTATTTGTCTATGATAGGCAGGTCCAATTCCTACCCAACCATATCTCTTTTTAAAGCTACCCAATGATTGGTGATAGTTGTAGACTTGCTCCTATCTATGAGATCTCAAAATATGCCCCCATCTCATGTCTGGAGTTAAGCAAAACACTGATTATTTGAGAAATAGTATACGTGTCTTATGGCTAGGGATAACTTATGGCCAGTAATATAGGTAATTAACACACAAAACATTTTTTATTTACCGGGTTGAGACGCAGGTAAACATGAGCAGATGAGACTTTGTCAACATGAAACCAAACATCTTCTGGCCAGCCCCATTTAATAAGATCTTCATCTGAAATAAAATTAATATTGTTAATGCCATATCACATGTGCAAGCAAAAAAGCTAAGTACAGTGGAACCTTGGGTTACGAACGCCCCACCATGTGAATTTTTCAGGATACGAACTGTCGTTCAGTCAATTTTTTGCTTCAGGATACGAAAGAAATCTCAGGATGCAAACTTCCCCCTCAAGGAAGGTTCCTTAAATAAATACTGCACACTTACATAATTGGTCGCATTGGGAGGTGATCGTAAAGCGGGGGTCCACTGTATAGGCCTACCAGCTTTCTCCCATAAAATTTGAAGCTGCTAGAATTTTGCCATTAGCACTCCTCTTGACAAGCCAAAGGAAGTTAATTTTCATTTACTGTACAGTATTTCAGTTAAATTTTCATTTAGTCTTCACTTTTACAGTATAATTTTATACATTGTTTTATGTAGTCACTAGTACATCATCATTATTATTAATAAATTACTATATTGTCATTTTTGGTCTGGAACAGATTAATTTAATTTACATTATTCTTTATGGGAAAAATTTGTTTGGTTGTCGACCATTTTGGTTGCCAAACTGACATCTGAAACGAATAAAGTTTGACAACCAAGGTTCCACCGTGTGTATATACAGCCTCTCCTCACTTAATGATGGAGTTCCATTCCTAATACCGTATCGATAAACGAATTCGTCGCTAAACAAGGAGCATACTATAATGGTAGTGGGTTTATGTCAACCATATTTGACACTGCTTTAATGTCACCCTAGCACCATTTATAACATTTTATTGTATATTTTTAAATGTTTATACAGTAGTGTACTGTATACATGTATTGTCATAAACAGAATAGAGGAAATCAGCTCTAATATACATGCATTATTTAGATAGGCATACTAGTCAGAGAGACCATCGTAAGTCCGAGTCATCGGTAAACGAATACGTCGCTAAGTGAAAAGAGGCTGTATATACAGTGGAACCTCAGCTAACGAGTGCCCCACCATATGAATTTTTCAGGATACAAGCAGTCATGTGGTTGAATTTTTCTTTCTGGATACAAGCAAAAATTCAGGATGCGAGCTTCCTCCTCAAACAACATTTTTTTAGACCTCCAGATCTTACAAAAGTAAAAGTGAATACACGTACAGTGGTCCCTCAATAATCGTACATAATCCGTTCCTGGAAGTGGGACTATTATCGAAATAGACGATTTTCAAATCAATTTTCCCCATAAGAAATTATGTAAATACAATTAATCCATTCCTGACACCCAGAAGTATTAAAACAAAAAATTTTTTTACATGAAATATAGATGTAGTACATAAACAATGCAATGGCACATGATGAATGAAACATTAACAGAATAACACTTACCTTTATTGGCAATTCTTCTTTGTCTATGGAACTGGAGAAGGAGTTGGATTGGATTATTTACTGTTTGGAAGGGGAATCCCCTTCCATCAACACCTCAGGTACCAATTGCTTTTTTGGGGTTACTTCTCTTCTCTGTTTCTTAATGCCACTAGGACCACCTTGAGAGGTCACTGGAGTCCTGTCTTGCAAAAAAACTGTACAGAGAGCTCTGTTTCTGGCATCTCTTTAAAACTTCCCTAAAATGGGCCAAGACTCTGTCACTGTACAAGTTGCCAATATGGCTTGCAACATGCTTCTCAGGGTGATGTTTCTCCATAAATCTTTCCATCCTACCCCACATTTCAAAATCTCCTTAATTTCTGAAGAAGGCACCTTCTTCCATCTCTCTTCCTCCTCCTCCTCTGCAGCAAGATTCTGAGCTGCAATCTGTTGCTCTTCCTGCTGAAGCTCTTGCAGCTCCTCAGTGGTTAGCTCTTCGTTGTGGTCCTCCACCAACTCTTCCACATCCTCCAAACTCACATCCAACCCCATGGAACTCCCCAGTGCAACAAGAGAGTTCACAACTGACATTGGCTCATCAGGGGCTGCCTCAAACCCTTCAAAATCCTCTTGGGGACAAAAATATGGCCACAGTTTTCTCCAAGCAGAGTTCAAAGTCCTGGTGTCACTCCCTCCCAAGCCTTACCTATAAGGCTTACGCAATGGAGAATGCTGAAGTGTTCTTTCCAAAAATCTTTTTAGGGTCAAGTGAGTGTCTGAGGTCACATTAAAGCACCTTTCAAACATTGCTTTGGTGTAGAGTTTTTTAAAGTTTGAAATGACTTGCTGGTCCATGGGCTGGAGGAGAGGAGTGGTATTCGGGGGCAAGAACTTTACTGTGATGAACCCAAACTCCTTTCGAATTAGGTCATCCAAGTTTGGAAGATGAGCAGGTGCATTGTCCATTACTAGAGGCACTTGAGATCCAATTTCTTTTCCAGGAGGTAATTCTTCACACTAAGGGCCAAAAAACTTCATTGAGCCACTCGACAAAATTTCCCTTGTGACCCATCCCCTTCTATTAGATCTCCAAAACACACACAATTTACTCTTCATTACTTTCTTTTTCTTGAACACTCTGGATTTTGAGAATGGTACACTAGTAAGGGTTTCACTTTGAAATCCCCACTAGCTTAGCACCAGAACATTAGCGTCAGCCTGTCTTTCATAGGCTTGTGTCCTGGCAGTGCCTTTTCTCCTAAGTAATGTAGGCCCCTCTTTGGCATTTTCTTCCAAAAAGAGGCCTGTTTTGTCACAATTTGAACACTGTCAGGTTTCAGTCCTTCAGTCTCTATGTACTCCTTGAATTCCTGCACATATTTTTCAGCCCTTTGTTGTCAGAACTGGCAGCCTCACCATGCCTTACCACACTGTGTATGCCAGAAATGCTTCTTAAATTTTCCTCAAACCAAGCCTTGCTGGCCTTAAATTCACTCACATCACCACTAGTTACAAGGCAATTTCTTTACCAAATGGGCATGCAAACTGCCTAGCCTTTTCACAAATAAGCGACATCCTAAGACTATCTCCTGCTAATTGTTTCTCGTTTATACACACCAATAATAACTTCTCAACATCTTCGAGTACTGGTGATCTCATTTTTGTCAGCATATTTACCCCCTTTGCAACAACAGCACCCTTTGATTTCCTTTTTTTTGGGCTATGGGGAAGATATGGTTGTACAGGATTTTTTATACATCCTGGCCAGTTCACCCACACGTCCGCCACTATCATATTGTTCAATGATGTTTTTCTTAAATTCAATCGTATTTCTCACCTTCTTTACCAAAGGTTTGGCACTAGGAGCTTTCTTTGGAGCCATGGTAGCTTATTTAGCACTTGCAAGCACTAAAATCAATGGAATATTATGAAATATTTCGTTGGAGCAAGTGAGGGGACCATTGCTCACTGGTAAACAATGGCACACTGGCTGGGAAGGGAAGGCCCAGGCGGCTCAGAGCGTGAGTACACATCCCGGACGAAGGACTATTAGCGAGTTAACGGACCATTTGCGAGCCAATGTTTAGACAAAATAACAGGACTATTTCCGAAATGGACGACTTTCAGGCCGGACGATTATTGAGGGGCCACTGTATATAATTGTAATTCATTGTTGTGATGTATTATGTTGTTTTACTGCTTAAGACTATAACTGCAAAAGAAATAATAGTATTTCTTACCTTAAATTGTGGGTGCTGGTGTTTGTTGATGATTGTGACGAGAGTGGAGAGTTATGCTGTGGCCCTACTGGGCTGAGGTGGACGGTAGAGGTTCTGGTAATGAAGTCGATGGTTGTACTGGAGTACTATACATAAATTCTGTAATGGATTTCTGTTCTATTTTATCCTGCAGTACATTATACAACTGACAGTAAGGCATCAGCTTCTCTAGACACTATTTCAGGGTCCTCTTCAGTGAAAAAGTCTAAGTCATTCAGTCAGGTCAGTAAGTCATTCAGTCAGGTCAGTAAATCATTCAGTCAGGTCAGTAAGTCATTCAGTCAGGTCAGTAAATCATTCAGTCAGGTCAGTAAGTCATTCAGTCAGGTCAGTAAGTCAGGGGATGGCAGGAGGTCTCCCCAGGTGGCTGGTGGAGGTAGGGAATGGCTGCCACCACTTGTCACAATGACATTTTATTCAATCTTGAGTATATATCAGGTTTCTATGTTATTTATATTTTTTATTAGGTCATATTAGATGGATTGTGATAGATAAATAAGCTGTAGAGTTGATATTAAGATCATATTCCTGCCTCCTGAGAGCAGGAATTCCACTGTAATGGATTAATGGCATTTCAATTAATTTAAGTGAGGAAAACTGACTCAGCACACAAGCAGATCGGGATACAAACAAGGTCACGGAGCAGATTAAACTCAAACCAAGGTTCCACAGTGTGTGTATGTGCATGTATCTTTCTTTCAACACACCGGCTGTATCCCACCGAGGCAGGGTGGTCCAAAAGGAAAAACGAAAGTTTCTCCTTTTACATTTAGTAATATATACAGGAGAAGAGGTTACTAGCCCCTTGCTCCTGGCATTTTAGTCGCCTCTTACAACACGCATGGCTTACGGAGGAAGAATCCTGTTCCACTTTCCCATGGAGGTAAGAGGAAATAAACAAGAACAAGAACTAGAAAGAAAATAGAAGAAAGCCCAGAGGGGTGTGTATATATATGCTTGTACATGTATGTGTAGTGTGACCTAAGTGTAAGTAGAAGTACTAAGACATACCTGAAATCTTGCATGTGTATGAGACAGAAAAAAACACCAGCAATCCTACCATAGTGTAAAACAATTACAGGCTTCCGTTTTACACTCTATATATACAGTAGGGCCCTGCTTTACGGCGTTTCACCTTATGGCGTTCCGCTAATATGGCGATGTCAAATTATGACCAAAATTTGCTATACGGCAAGCGGTCTTTCAAATACGGCACCCCCCCCACCCGGTTTGTTTGCATTCTCCGTGACCACATCTATTATGTCAGGAAACTTTCCAAAATTTCAAGTGTTTTAAAGTTACTGCATATTTTATATGTACTCTGATAATTATACTTATGCGTACCTGTACCTAAATATACTTACACACTGTGCTGGTGTGCAGGTACACATTAAAATTGCTGTATCATGTTCAAATTAATAAATAAATAAATAAATAAATAAGTCTCTCTCTACTCATGATGCCAATACTACGTAATAATAATCACTCTTGGGCACACTAAATGTCTTATTTTACATTAATATTGGCATTTTTATTAATCCATCTATGATATTTTCCTCAAAATTATATATGAAACCTGTTACATAGCATATAAACATGATACATACACTCACAGAATAAAAACTGACGTAAATATGAAATTTGTTTGCAAAGCAGCTGTGTAGATAGTGTCGGAAGAATTACATTTTCTTTAGTCAAACACTGGGGGATAACTGTAGAAAAATATTCTTTTCGTATGCCTTTACTCTATGTATAGCAATTCACGACCCTTGTGGGTTTAGTGCTTTTTATAATAATAATAATAATAATAATAATAATAATAATAATAATAATGATAATATTATTATCTTCATTCACTCTAAAAATGGTGTGTTGCTGTTTGTTTATTCTGTACTATCTAGTACAACTTGTACACAATGTAAGAGTATTTGTATTGTGAGGTAATTATTATTATAATAAAAAAAATATTGAGGTAAATGCTTTACAAACTCTTACAAACGGACGTGAATGAACTAAAAGTAGACACATTACTACGCATTTATTTCGTCTGACCAAGTGATCGCCCACTACCTGTTCAGTTTGTGTTCTTATATTGTCTCAACTCTGTATCTCGTTCTCTCTCTCGTTTACTCTTTCGTTAACTAAGGTTAGCTGTGATAAAAAGAGAAGTCGTAAGCCTCTTGCTTTAAGTGCCAAGTTAGAGGCTGATGGTGTGCCAGTCTGATTTTATTCAATAAACACCCTGCCACTCACCTCTCACACATTAATATTAATATTTTAAGGTAAGTAATAAGTGTACTCTGTGTGTATCTTACCTTTTATTGTGTTTTTAATGCCTATTTCTATTGCTAACCTAACCCTTTGACTGTCGCGGCCGTATATATACGTCTTATGAGGTACCGTGTTTGACGTATATATACTCATAAATTCTAGCGGCTTCAAATCAAGAAGGAGAAAGCTGGTAGGCCCACATGCGAGAGAATGGGTCTGTGTGGTCAGTGTGCACCATATTAAAAAAATCCTGGAACACGCAGTGCATAATGAGAAAAAAAAAACTCCGACCGTTTTTTTAATTAAAATGCCGACTTTGTGATCTATTTTCGTATAGTATTTATGGTTGTATTCTCGTTTTCTTGGTCTCATTTGATAGATTGGAAAACATATTATAGAAAAAGAGGTGATTTTGATTGATTTTACTATAAAAAGAACCTGGAAATGGAGCTCAAAGTAGGGGAAATGTTTGATTTTTGCCGATGTTCAAAAGTAAACAAATGATGTCATTGTCCAATAAATGTCCAACTAGCCGTTCTAATATGCAGTCATGAATGGGTTGATGTTATTTACACAATTATTACAGTATTGCAGTAGTCTGCATAATAGTAAATCTTCTATTTTTTGTTTGAATAAAAATTCAAAATAGAAAGCAAGAGTAATATCAGAGGGGCCTGGAGATATGACTGATGAACAAAGAAAGTGTTATTTTAGAGCCAGGAATGTCTGCATTGTTCATTCTAGACCTTATTTTGAAATTGACGTATTTTTTAATTTTCGTGAAATTGGCCAAATTGCAAATTTCTGACCACGTTATTGGGTAGTTGAAATTGGTAAATGGGCAGTTTCTTGTACTCAATCGATAGAAAAAACGGAGTTCTAAAGAAATAGCTATGAGTTTGGTCGACTGGAACAATGGAATTAGCCAAAAATAGGGCTCAAAGTGGGCTAAATAGCCGATTTTTAAATATCGCCGAAGTCGCTAACTTCGCAAGAGTTTAATTCCGTCAGTTTTCCATCAAATTTCATTTTTTTGGTGTCATTACAATCGGGAATAGATTCTCTATCATTTCATAAGAAAAAATATTTTTTTTTTTTTTTTTTTTTTTTTTAAATTTTGCGACACCAGGAGACACCTCAGGATTAGGGGTTGTGACAGTCAAGAGGTTAATATAAGTTAGTGTAAACTTGTTGTCTGGCATTTATTGCATATTTTATATGTGCTATGATAATAATACTTTTGGACTTGTGTGGTAGCCGAGCAGAGGGACATTACGTTTTTTCTGCTCAGCCATCAGAGAAAACGTGTATGAATGTGCTTTTGGCCCAGCCACTCCCCCACTCCCCTTTTATTTACAATTTTCAGCATGAATTATTCATTACTTCTCCCTTCGTTTATGGCATCTAAAGGTAGTTGTTAGAAATGATTAAATTCAGTGAACAAGGTATGTCGATGTTAATAATATGGCTCTGGGCCACACTGTAGGTAGCCGGTAGGTGTAGCCCAGGCGGGCTACACCTACCGGCTACCTACACTGACTTCCTACAAATAAATACTACTCACCTCTCTTCCTATACTAAGACTACAGATATTTTAAGGTAAATAAGGAGTGTACTGTATGTGTATTTTACCTCTCTGGGATGTTTTAAATATCGTATAATAAGTATGAGATGGGGAGCCAGGGCTACCTACACCTGGGCTACCTGCACCTGACTTCCTACAAATAAGTACTATAATCACCTCTCTCCCTACATTAAGATTACAAATACTTTAAGATAAGTAATGAATGTACTGTGAATGTATTTTACTTTGTGTGTTTTTAATGCCTAGTTCTATTAGTAAATATAATTTAGTGTAAACTTGTTGTCTGGCATTTATATGCATTTATAAATGGAAAAAAATGGCGTTCTGCCTTCCGGCGATGTCTGCTTTCTGGCGACAGCCTGGAACCTAACCCGCCATATAAGTGGGGCCCTACTGTATATATATATATATATATATACACACACACGGACCTAGTAGCGATCAGTGAAGAGGCGGGGCCAGGAGCTATTTCTTGACCTCTGCAACCACAAATAGACAAGTACAAATAGGTGAGTACATGCACACACATGCATGCACGCACGCACACACACACACACACATGCACACGCGCAGACACGTGCGCACACACACATGCACGCATGCACACAGTCAGTAGCTGAGGAGCCAGGAGCTGAGTCTCGACCTCTGCAACCACAATTAGGCGAGTACAGTACTGTACAAGATACATAAAACTCATTCAAAAAGAAAGTTCAAAACAAACCATTCAAATTATTGTACTCACTTTCATATTTATCAATTCCCATGAAGAGTGTGACAGATGGATCCACCACTGTAAACAAGAAATTTATATTGAAAAAATTTGCTTTAACTCAATTAATGCATGGAAAATATAAAATTTAAGCCAGAATTTTTAATAAATATTTTTATTTCATAAATGTTCAAGTTCATCAAGTGATAACTGCAATTAGTATTGACTGATTAAGAAAAGCGATCAAGTAGAGTGGGTGCATGAATTTGAGATTAAAGTGGAAATTTATGTATTCATGTATGTATTTTGTTTGTTTCAGCACAAATATGTAACATTTACATTTTGAGACAACATTTCACTACTGTGCAAGTTTTTAACATAAAATGCAGTCATATAACAGGGGATTATTATTATAGTACAATCAAAATTAAACATGAAGCTCACAAAGGTCATACAGGTTTTTTTTTTGTTTTTTGTTTTTTTGCAAAAAAATATGCAAAAGAGCATGTTCGTATTGTTAAAAAGTGGCATATTCATTCCAACTAATATCAAGACACAACTATGTGAAATAGTATTTATTAAAGAACTCTTTACTTTTAAAGTGTAATTGGCATTACAATGATTATCACATTGCTTTATATAAAACAAATGTCTGAGAAATCATTTATTCAGCTGCTGAACAAATAACACATTTTATTAATATAAAAGAAAGCATTATTCAGGTTAAATTTACAGATGTTTCAACAAACTGATGTCTTGAATTTCTACAATAGATGCAGCCAGAATCCAGCAAGGTGATCAGATTTTCAAATCATTAATGTCAGGTGCCAGGTTTGGTAACTTGTTAAGATATAACCACTAGTGATACAACAACATACAATGAGTTTACTTCAGATTATGTTTGGTTAGTGCATGGAGAATCCTAAGCCAGTAGGAAAATATCAAACACTTTACCTAACCAATTGGTGACTTAGGAATCAATGAGATACCTGGCATGCCTGCAGCCAACACAAGATTATGATAGGCATTTACAGTAGTTGGGTTGTTTGTGACCCAACATTTGTGAAGTCTACATGCAGTAGATGTGCTTAAGGAACATTTCCTTGCATTCCATAAGATTCATGGCATCACACGCTTTATGACACTACATGTCAAAACAGTTCAAGAAGTGGTTACAAGAAAATGACATCAAGAGTTATCTCATGACCAGGAATCAGCCTTGACCTGAACCCTATCGATAATTGGTTGAATGAAATGAAAGCAAAGCTCCATTCCAAAAATGTATCAGTGCCACACCTGGAGATAAAAAAGGATTTTACTTTGTAAATTTTCCAATTCTACACCTAACCACTTGAAACTGGTTATCAAATCATACGGAAACATTATCAAATATTAAAAGCTAAGTGAAATCTAATTTTTCTTATCCTTTATCCTATGTTACTGGCAATTAATTTCTTTCCAATTTGGCAGGGGCCCATCATTTGCAATGTAAATTAAATTCATTCCACAAAATGCTCTGCCATATCTAGGTGTATATAGATTTATGCATTTAATATAATATAAACATTTTAGTGATGACAATATAATTACCAGTACAGTACCTACATTAACTAGTGCTTCATGTTGATAAAGTTATGCACAGAGGTATAATATTACGGTATAAATTGTAAATAAGGAAACTGTACTGTATTTGGAATTGAAAAAGCAAAATATTGCATATATACAGTGAAACCCCGGTTTTTGTCCGGTTCGGTTATCGTACAATTCAGTTTTCGACCACTTTTTCTTGGCAAAATTTTCCCCGTTTTCGTACATCCGCTTGGAAATCATCTGTACCAGATGTGTCCGCCTGCCCGCGGGACGTGACCACTCATACGTTTGTGACTCAGCCTGCTTTTGTTACTCGTAGAGGGCAGTAGTGATGGCGGTAGAGGGTGGTAGTGATGGTGGTAGAGGGTGGTAGTGATGGTGGTAGAGGGTGGTAGTGATGGTGGTAGAGGGTGGTAGTGGTTGTGAGGGTGTTAGAGGGTGGTAGTGGTTGTAATGGCAGTAGAGGGTGGTAGTGATGGTGGTAGAGATAACCCCTCCTCCCTCTCCTTTCCTCGCCATCTTCCATAAGCCAACAAGTGTCTTTAATAAAGGTAAAAGCGATTTAAATGTTCATTTATCCATTTCATTAGTGCTTTATATTTATTTCTCATTGTTTTCTGTATGTAAAACTATAGTTATTCTCTACAAAATGTATTTTTTGTTAACATTTTTGTGTGTCTGGAATGGATTAATCGGATTTACGTTATTTCTCATGGGAAATATTACTTCAGTTTTCGTACAAATCGGTTTTCGGCTGACCTTCTGGAACGGATTAAAGACGAAAACCGGGGTTCCACTGTAATCATAATAATAATAATACTCTATTTCCATAAGTACAGTGGACCCTCGACCAACGTTGGCATCGTCTAACGTTAAATCCGACTAGCGATACATTTTAACGTAAAAATTTTGCCTCAACCAGTGCTAAAAAACCCGACCAACGCTATTCATTCCGTTCGAGACGCGTCCACTTTAGCCTGAGCGCGCCTCACTTGTCCCGTGGGTGCCAGTGTTTACAAGCCAGCCAGCCACCACAGTCCCATCCAAACATACAATCGGAACAATTCATATCACAAGTCCTAATGGAAGGGGATTTCCCTTCTAAACACTAAGACCATCAACACTCTCCCCTCCTCCCATCCCATCAATCATCACCAGGTCTTCAATAAAGGTAAGTGTCATGTAACTGTGCATTTCTTCTTCAGTTTGTGTGTATTAAAATTAATATTTCATGTGGTAAAAACAATTTTTTTTTCATACTTTGGGGTGTCATGCACGGATTAATTTGATTTCCATTATTTCTTATGGGGAAAATTAACTTGACTAACGATAATTTTGATTAACGATGAGCTCTCAGGAACGGATTAATAGCGTTAGTCGAGGGTCCACTGTACATGTACAAGGTATACAGGCCTAACTGACATCAATGACATACTACTATATAGAAAGCCCCTTATTATGCAGAGCATTTCACTCAAATTTGGTCAATTTTGACCCCAGGATGCAACACACACCAGTTGACTAACACCCAAATACACGTACCTATTTTACTGACTGGTGAACGTGAACAGTAGGTACCTTAAGGAAACACGCCCTAATGTTTCCATCCATATTGGGGATTGATCCCTCAACCTCAGTGTGTGAGCTGAGTGTGCTAGCAATCAAGCAATGTAGTCAGTTTTAGAAATGCAGTATTATACAATGACTTAACCTAGGACATTCCTAAAACAATTCAAAATTATTTAAATCCATCATTAAAAGTATAAAACTGGCAAAATCCTGACAAGTGTATGACAACACAACTATGACCCTTCAAGGGAGGTAACGTGATGCCAGTAAAGGGCTCTTGATCCAAAGAATTGGAGCTACCCTCCCCTTTCTTGGCTCAAATCTGACTGACTCCTATTACCAAGATGCTGTATGACCCTTATGGGTTTAGCTCTTCTCCATTACTGTAATACTGAGCAATAATGCTATAAAGTGTGAGAATGTTCAGTTCAAATAATAGGCAATAATTAAAATGAATCATTCAAAAATTTACCAGCAAGATTTATTTATTTATTTATTTATTAATTTGAACATGATACAGTGAAGTACTGTACAGAGGAATACAGTTATTACAGTGCAACATGCCAAAGCCCCTTGTATGCAGAGCATTATGGGCAGGCTTAAAATTAACTTAAGATTAACTAAGCAATGATATACAGTGCACCCTCGACCAACAATGGCATCGTCTAACGTTAAATCCGACTAGCGATATATTTTAACGCAAAAATTTTGCCTCAACTAGCGCTAAAAAACTCGACCAACACGATTCGTTCCATCTGAGACGCGTCCACTTGTGGCCAGTGTTTACAAGCCAGCCAGCCACCGCGGTCCCATCCAAACATACAATCGGAACATTTCCTATTATCACAGCGTTTTTAGTGATTGCACCTGCAAAATAAGTCACCATGGGCCCCAAGAAAGCTTCGTGCCAACCTTACAGCAAAAAGGGTGAGAATTACTATGGATATGAAGAAAGAGATCACTGCTAAGTATGAAAGTGGAGTGTGTGTCTCAGAGCTGGCCAGGTTGTACACAAAACCCCAATCAACCATCGCTACTATTGTGGCCAAGAAAACGGCAGTCAAGAAATCTGTTCTTGCCAAAGGTGCAACTATGTTTTCGAAACTGAGATCGCAAGTGATAGAACATGTTGAGAGACTGTTATTGGTGTGGATAAACGAAAAACAGATAGCAGGAGATAGCATCTCTCAAGCGATCATATGTGAAAAAGCTAGGAAGTTGCATGAGGATTTAATTAGAAAAATGCCTGCAACTAGTGGTGATGTGAGTGAATTTAAGACCAGCAAAGGTTGGTTTGAGAGATTTAAGAATCGTAGTGGCATACATAGTGTGATAAGACATGGTGAGGCTGCCAGTTTGGACCAAAAAGCAGCTGAAAAATATGTGCAGGAATTCAAGGAGTACATAGGCAGTGAAGAATTGAAACCTGAACAAGTGTTTAATTGTGACACTGACAATGTTGTGAAACACTTTAGGAATGTCATAAAGGAACAGGAGGGACAGGCCTCTATGGACAGGTATGTTGTGCGACAGAGGTCCAGTGACTCTCAAGCTGGTCCTAGTGGTATTAAAAGAAGAAGGGAAGTAACCCCGGAAAAGGACTCGACACCTCAAGTCCTAATGGAAGGGGATTCCCCTTCTAAACACTAACACCATCCACAGTCTCCCCTCCTCTCATACCATTAATCATCACCAGATCTTCAATAAAGGTAAGTGTCATGTAATTGTACATGTCTTCTTCAGTTTGCGTGTATTAAAATTAATATTTCATGTGGTAAAAAAAAATTTTTTTCAATACATTTGGGTGTCTTGCATGAATTAATTTGATTTACATTATTTCTCATGGGGAAAATTAACTCGACTAACGATAATTTCGATTAACGATGAGCTCTCAGGAACGGATTAATATCGTTGGTCGAGGGTCCACTGTATTAAGTGGCAAAAACATTATTGTAAACAGATAACAATTTAGCACAAATGAGTATTACAAAGACAGGTCATATGGTCATTTACTGTGTTGCTGAGCATTCAGTAGAATGGAGTATTCTGTTAGGTAATGTAATTAAAAAAATTAAGTTTGATTGGGTCACAGGTTAGACATTTAAGAGATACAATAATGAGAAACATTTAAGAGATACAATTTATGAGATACAATTATTAAGTATTTATTTAGTTGTGGGTGAGTAAGTGATTTTTGAGAAGAGACTTGAATTTATAAACAGACAGTGTTTCTTTTACATTCACAGGTAATGAATCCCAGATTTTAGGGCCTTTTTTGTGCATTGAGGTTTTTGCATAGCTTTTGAAAGGACTCGGGAACTCAAAAAGTGATCTGTGCCTTTTGTTATGGTCATGTGTCGTTTTTAGGTGGTAAGGAACATTTTAAAGGGGAGGGTTTATTCCGAGTTTAATGTTTTATGAATTAGTAGGGCATAATAAGTAGATGCTTGTATGGTGAGTAGGTTTAGAGTTTGAATATGGGTGGGTGTGCTCCTGTAGTGGGAATTTTCACATTTTGACTACAGCCTTTTGTTGGGTAAATTAAAGGTCTGAGATGGTTTATTGTTGGAGCCCCATGCACAAATTCCCTAGGGAAATAGGGGTAAATAAGTGGTGAATAGGGCCGGGGCTGACCGTGGGGAAAATAGTACCCTATCTTTCGAAGAGCCTCGTCTTGGAAATTTTTTTTTGGGAAATTTGTTGTATATTGTTTTTAAACTTGAGTCATTATCAAGGGGGATTCCAAAGAATTTTCCCTCTGGGATTTTGTGATAGGTGATTGTTTATCTTTTTGTTACGAGGGAAAGTCTGTAGCTGTTACCAAACGAATTTAAATAGTTTTTTTTAATGTTTAGATTTGTTTGTTGAATTCCGGGAGATATTTTCTGTAAATTTTGGGATTTACAGTACTGGGAGCGTGCTGGGGTCGGGTGAAGAAGACGTATTTTTTCATCTGCAAATAGTGGGGGTTTTTGTAGTTTCGATGCATTTTGTAAGGTCTTTTTCTAAGAGAAAGAGAAGAGGGCCAGGACACTTCCCCGGGGACACAACTGTAATTGGCTGGCGAAGAGTTTGCCCCCTTTGTTACACCCTTTTGGCTTTGTTGCTGAGGTAAACTTTAGATAGTTGGGGAGTGCCCTCTTTTCCATAGTGCGACAATTTAATGGGCCCGTATGGTCACGTATCAAAAAACTTTACGTAAGTCTAGAAAAAACCCCATGGGGCTTCTTTTTCTCTATTGCAGTTATATTGTTCTAGCATGTGTATAAAAGCACATTTGTATTTTTATTAGGCCTTAATCCAAATTTACGGGGTTTTTGGGATGTTTGGGAGAGAGTAGGAATAGATTCGCTTTTGAATTAATTTTTCGAAAAATTTTAGAGAGAGAGGTAATTGGGTTTTGGCCTATAGTTATTCAAGTCTGTTTGGTTTCCTCCTTTATGGGGTCGGGGTGACCCTTTCATTTTTTAGAACTGTAGGGAAGGTAGAGGATTCTTTTGGATTTGTTAAAGAGTGTTAATATTGGTGATAAATACTTGTGACGTTTTTTTTTATTAAAGGGGAGTAAGGATTTAAATCTCCTCTCTTGTTTTTAAGTGTGTTGATAATAAGGGAGACTTTAGTAGGGGTTTCGGGCTAGGAACAGTGGTTCGGGTATTTTTTCCCGTGAGGTAGTCATTGGGGGGGGTATCTGATTGGGATTTTTTGCCAGGTTTTTTTCCTATAGGGAGAAAAATTATTGAGTCTGTTTGCTGTTTCAGTTGGGGGGAGTTGGGGTTCATCGGGTTTTGTTAATTCAATTTCGCTATTTCGTGATTTTTTTTGTTCCTAGAATTTTGTAGGGTTTTCCGGCCCTTTTTTATATACCTGTTAAGTTGGTTAATCTTTTCTCATAATACATTTTTTTAGCCCTTTTTTCGGGGGTTTAGGTTGACGAGAAAACGTTTTGTTTGGTTACCTGGGGGTTTAAACCTGGAGGTTATTCGGGATAAAACCCCCGCGGCCCGTCCAAAAACAGGCCCCCGTTATGGACCATTCGTACTGTTTTCCGTATAGGGCTTTGTTTTTTGGGATTTGGATGCGGGGTGTTAGCCGGGACTGTTCGTCTCTTAGCTGTCATCTGTTTGTTTTTTTTGGGGGGAGTGCTTGTTTGAGGTTTTGGGTTTTTTTTTTAGAAATTATTAAAATTTTTCACAATTTGCATGTTTTGCTCAGGGTGCAGTCAATGTTTGTCCTGTGCGGAAGTTATTTCTGCCTCTTGTGAAGTTGAAAGTGCTTTAGTGGTTTTGGGGTTTTGCAAAGTTTTTGGGAAATTGGATGTTTGGGTATTAAAAGTTAAAGCATGGGTTGTTGTTGGGGTTTGGTGGGTTTTTTTTTAACAATTGATTTCTAAAAACTATTATTTTTTTTAATTTAAATTTGTTTTTAATTTTAAGCTATTTTGTTTTTTTAAGTTTAATAATTTGTTTTATATTTCCCCCTTTTTAGTTTATTTAATATATTGTTTTATTAAAATTAGTATTTTTATGTAATATTAAATTTTTTATTTAATTTTATCTTTGTTTATATAATATTTGTTATATAATATATTAGTTTTATAAATATTTGTTTAAAAATTTTTTTTATTGATAATAACCCCTTTTTTGGATTTCTTAAATACTTTAGTTTTTTCTTTTTAATATTTTTTTATTTTAATATTAAAAATTTTTTTATTTCCCTAATTTGTATTTTTTGTATTTTAAATAATGTTTTATTAAAAATTTTTCTATTAAATCTTTTGTTTTATTTTAAATATTTGTAATTTACCCTATATTGTTTATTTAATTATTGTTTAATATTTAATATTTGTTTATTAAAAATATTATTTATTAATTATTGTTTATTTAATATTTTTTTATTAATTAGTATTCTTTAAAAATTTAGTTTTATTTAATATATTTTTTATTTATTATTGTTTATTTTAATTATTGTTTAATTAATTAATTGTATTAATTTAATACTTTGTTTAATTTAATATATTGGGGGAAACTAACATATATTTGTATTATATTTTTTAGTTTTATTCCCACTTTTGTTTATTTCCTATTTGTTTTTCTATTCCCTTTTAATTTTAAAATTTTTAATTTTAAATTCGGGGATTAC